TTACTATGTGATCTAAACAAATTATCTGCATTTCTACTTAATTATCGCTCATAAAATTAATGAATTAGTGGCCAATTAATCCAAACACTAAGACTAGAAGTAAAAACAATTCACAAAATCATTTTGAGATTAAAACTTTTAATTAAAATTAAGGTTCAAAACTAGGTTACAATTATTCATCATAACTAAATATTTAATTACACATCCTGGGAGAAGAATAATACGCAAAAGAATTAAAGTATATCACCGCGTTTAAAGAAAAAGTGGAAAAAGATGAAGATCTTGACCAAGATTCCTCCTACTATTTGTAAAATCTTGATACCCTAACTTTTTGATTGATTTCTTGATTTTTCCATCATTTTGCGCTTGTATAGTATATGCATAATGAATCCCGTAAGCCTCGACTTGAATATATATGTATAATGAAACTCCACGTGCCCCTTGGCTTGAATAGATGTGTAGAATGAAATTCTGCCAATCTCCTTTTAATTGTTGGACTCTGATATATATATAGAACAAGATTTAGGAAAAAATCTTGTTCAAATTGAATTCTATCAAAGATTTTGAGAAGAAAGATGAAACAAATCTCTTTTTCAATTAAACTCCTTTTCTTAAGTGATTTTAGTGTTTCATCTTCTAATATTTGCATTTAAGTTCCCTTTATTCTAAAATCACTATAGTTCACCCGATCTAGTTCTGAAAGTTTTCATTTTAGTCCCCAAACTATCCAATTGTCGATTTTAACTCCCAAAACTTATGAATTTTTATCGAATGTTCCATTAACACTTCCAATTGATCTCTTAGATTAATCTTCAATTGCTTCAAATCAGCTTTACTTGAGTTCCAAATGGTCTCTTTAATCATAAATTATATCCAAGTAATGATTTTTCTACTGTTAACATAATTTACACAAATTAAGTAGATATTTGTTCAATTTATATATTAAATAAGAATAGAAGCCCGAACAAGCGCATCAAATGTTATGATCAGACTGACATAAATCAACATTAACGTCATAACCATCACACTCTATTTGAAGATTAGATGTTTCTTGGAAACGAACTTCTGAGGTTTGTGTTCAAGCTCTATATATATATATATATATAGCCAACTAATCTTAAATTAATGCAAGTTTTTAAGGGCATACGAAACAAATTTTTGAAATATATATTGTCTCATATATTCTGTTGCATTTTGATTTTCGATTCTAACAGAGAATCTGGTTTCAACAATAAAAGAATTAATTGATCAGAATTCAAACAATAAAAGAAATGGTATGAACATTTCTTATTCTTCAATCCAAACAATCCACACAATAATTCAACGAATCAACCTAAACAAATTCNTTTTTCATCGAAAAGGTTCGTCAAAACAACTGTTAAAGAAACCTTACCCAATTTGATGCAAATCTTTTGATAATAAATTTTGTGAAAATGAATTTTAAAAAATGTATAATGATTGAGAAAAAAATTTCTCTATCAAACCAGGGCTAAAAGATTTATGAACACAATCTCTTCATGCATTTGGTAGCGCCACATATGTGTTCTCAATAAAATTTCAAAGAAGATATTCCACAAAAATTGAAGAAATATTACCCGCAGTGTACATACAAATCCAACAATCAATATGCAGTTGAAGAACCAATCTTTTTTGCCCATTCTGACGCGTAATAGTTATACTAATTTGTTTCTCATAATTGATGATCAGACTGCTTTAATTACATCCCATTAATTCTCCAACACTAGCAAAAAAACATGGAATCCCAGTTGCGTCAGCATCGACCTGAGCTCTCTTCGGGGTTTCTGCATTTCCAAACCTGAAGGTCCTAGTATTGCACTATTTCTAAAAGCTTTAAAATGTTTAGTAGAAAAGAAAAAAAAAAACTTATTAGTGTTCGTTTAGTCATACTTAATTTTGTATTTTGTGGAGCGCTAGTAAATGGCCATGCGTGCAAGGATCCCAAGCTTGCACAAGCAAATGATTTCTTCTTTAGCGGACTGCACTTAGCTGGGTATACGTCGAATCAAGTAGGATCCAGAGTGACTCCTGTTAATATGGCTCAAATTCTAGATTTCAACACTCAAAATTTCCTAGGTTCGTGTAACAGTACACCATGTGGCATTCCTCACACTCACCCCGAGCGACGAAGATCGATGTGATTTATATATACAAATCATCAATTCATCTTAAATTAATGCAAGTAGTTGAGGGCACACAAAACGAATTTGTGAAATATATATTCTCATATATTCCGTTGCATTTTGTTTTTCGATTTCAAGAGCCAATTTGGTTTCAACAAAAAAAGAATTAATTGACAGAACGATAAAAAATGGTACGAACATCTCTCATTCTTCAATCCAAACAATAACTCAACGAATCAACCTAAACAAATTCCTAAGCATTTAATAACGAAAAAGAACTTAACAACACACTTCCAAGACGAATCTTGGTCCACATCATTAATTTTTTCAGACATTGGAGAATTCCGATAGGCTGCTTAGAACTTGGACTGAATCCAATCAATTGTCTTAATATCAACTTGGAATGACTTTGCAAGAAGATCATTCGGAATTGAGGGTTTCGATCCAAAAACGGCATTTGCAACTGTAATTACACCAGGATTTTGGCTGCTAAGAGCGGCAATGGCAACAGCATTTGTGTATCCAACATTACGTTGGAAATGGACAAGTCCTACTGGGAAAACAAAAACATCACCCTTCACAAGCTTTTTCGTGATGAGTCGATTTTCAGGGTTGGAAGTGACAAATCCCACTTCAAGAGTGCCTTCAATTACTGTCAAAATTTCAGTTGCTCGAGGGTGCGTGTGAGGAGGGTTAATGCCCCATGGCGCATAGTCTACGCGCACTAAGGAAATTCCAAGAGTGTTGAGTCCTGGAATTTGAGCCACAGTTGCAGGAGTCACTTTTGATCCTACTGCATTTGACGTGTCGCCTGGTAAGTGAAGTCCACTTAAGAAGAAATCATTTGCCTGTACAAGTTTTGGATCCTTGCATGCATGCCCGTTTACCAGCACTGCATTAATCATGAACAAACAGAACTAAATTACACAGAAATTAGACATAAAACTAGGAGTATTTACAAAACAAGATTTGGATTTTTTTCTGGGCTACACTTATAGGGTAATATCAAATCGAGCATGAGAAAAAGAAACAGGTTCAATGATTGAGTGAATTTTTTTAATAGATCGTGCTTCTTTTAAATTCGATTGTTTTACTCATAATATATACCTGGGCCATTGGGGTCAGCAACACAAAAATCTTGAAGAGGGCTGGAGTCAGATGCCAAAACAACTGAACAAATTGCAATCAAGATTCCGAAGAAAAGTAAATTGTGGGATGCCATTTTTGTTCAAGTATTCGATGATTCAACAAGTACAAAATGGAGAAGAAGACGATTAGTTAAGAGCAGAAGATTTGAGGTGCAAAAGAAAGGACAATCCAAGGCTGTTTATATAGATAATTAAGAGCATTAATTAATTAATTGTTACATAATTGCTTATTATGCCGGCCTAATTATCAACAACGAGCAAAGAGGACCTAGTCTTCAATAAACCGTGTTGGAAGGGTATTATGGAGGTTAATTATCGATAATCTTGTTCTATGTTGCCGGAAGGCGAATAATGTAATAATTAAATGGGTTGAAAAAGTATGTTAAAGGATTGAATCCCACATCGAATAAAGATGAAAACATAAATCAATTTATAAGAGTTTGGAATACTCTAAATAAGGTTGACCTTTTAAGATGAAACTCCAAATCTTAACATGTTTTTAGATCCCGTTAAGCTACAACTAGCAATTCGATCCAATTAAGATTCAAAAAAATTAAGCACACGGGTTTCAAGATTGGCATACTCAAACGATATACTATCTTGCAGGGGCATGTTAAATGATAAAATCCCACATCTAATAATGATGAAAAGCACAATCCAATTTATAAGAGTTTAGATTACTTTTCTTAATAAGGTTGACATTTTAAGATGGAACCCCAATTCTTGACATGGTATCAGAGCCTATTAAGCTCCAACAAGCAGTTTGATCCAATTATAACTCAAAAAATTGAGCACAAGAATTTCAAGATTGGTCTGCTCAAACGAAATACCATCTTACGGGGTATCTTAAGAGATAAAATCTCACATCGAATAAAGATGAAAACATAGACAAATTCATAAGAGTTTCGGCTACTCCTCTTAATAAGGTTGATATTTTAAGATGGAACCACAAATCTTAACATGATATTAGAGCCTGTTAAGCTCCAACGAGCAATTTGATACAATTAAGACTCAAAAAAATGTACGCACGGATTTCAAAATTGATCTGCTTAAACGATCCACCATGTTTCGGGGACATGTTAAGCAATAAAATCTCACATTGAATAAAGATGAAAACATGAACCATTTTATAAGAGTTTAGACCACTCCTCTTAATAAGGCTGACATTTTAAGATGGAACCCCAAATCTTAACAAAGTAATTATGCCGCATCACCCTTAAGAGCAGCGCTCAAACCTCGTCTAACTCGATATTACATAGGAGATTTATATTTGTGTGTTCATTATTATCTTCACTTTTTACTCCACGTCTCTTAATTGATAAATTCTTATTTTTTATTTTTTATTTAGTGGTCAGCCTATCTCCTCTCTTGGTACTATTTTTCTTTTGTTATCAATAATGAGCTATCTAATGTGGTTAATTTATCCAAAAACTAGTGTAATAATTAAGACGATAAAATAACGTAAATAAGACACCATTTTTTATTTTTGAAGTAGTAAAATATTGTCCTGGCCTGACTTGGTCCGTGTTTATCTTAACCTTGTTGAGTGACAATTCACGCTATATGTCAAAGCTAGAGTTAAGGGTTTAGGCTATATCCATTATATTCAAATTGTGCATTAGAAATGGCGGTTTTTGAGATTAAAAAGCTGGACATATATGATAATGATTATTAGGATATTAATTATTTGTTGATGATATGATTGCAGTGATTTCTTTCAGCGTTCATTTGTATAATAAATATTCCAACAAGGTGAAGACAAACTTTATTAGATATCCCATTAGAATATAAGGAGGCATTGATAGTGTGATGCCCTAAATCCAATAACTTTGGATATAAACACTTTTAATATATATATAATTGATATAATTTTATGGTAGATCTATTGTTTAATTTATATTCAATTAAATTAAGTAATAGAGTCAATAGATTTATATCCTAGTAATTTGTTAATCACAAGAAATTGTAATTGTGATATAAAAATTACGTATCCGTGATCGTATGTAATACCAAGATACGGATATCGTTATTACGGATATACCATTACGTGTTGCATTTCTTACTTGTGAAGTAAGTAGCCGATTTCGCGAGCTAAAGTGTGGTGACACTTAAATGAACATGTAGATGTTTTGTTATAGAACAAAATACTGGAAACCTTTTGAGGAGAATCCACATGGATAACTATCTGAGTATCAATGGCTAATCTCTAACGTTCAGTAGTGGAATTGGTTCTTCGACTTGATATCAGCATAGTGATTTATATGAGGACAATCATAATTTGGTGATATTGAATATTGCTCTGCCAAAGGTCGTTAATACGACATTGTTCGATATGTTAAGAATCATATGAAGATTGTGATTGATCAATAGAGGATTCATCATTCTTAGATAGTAAAAGATTATGATATACGTTTCATCCAGTCAACTTGACAATGAAATCATTGGCCAAGGTGTACTCATGAGTCGAAAAAAGAGTTTTCGACTTACATTAACTTAACAGTGGGATGAAAGATATGATCGATAATTGAGATTGACACATATCCATATATCGTAATTCATTAGATCATGTTGACGAAATGGTTATAGTTTTACAGTAAACAAACAAATTTGATTTTGTCATACCACGTGAAATTTTTCGTGACATGTATTGTCCGACGCACTACTAGATGTCAATATGCGACGATAGATGTGAATTGAAATTGAGAAGATGCATCTTAATTTATCGATTTTGATTCGATCAAAATAATAATTCACGTCAAAAGAAGAACTAGAAGAATGAGATTCGCCAAAAAATTAATGAATAAGTGTTTGGCAATTAATTAATTGGGTTACTTGTTAGTATGCCCGAATTAATTAATTTGTGGATCGAATTTAAGTATGCCCGAATTAATTAATTTGTGGATCAAATTTAATTAATTGGATTAATTAAATGTTGGATTGGATTAAGTTTACGAGACGGTCCACCCACTTGGACTTATAATAGTAAGCTATTATGGTTTCAAAAAATAGAACAGAACAATATTCATATTCTTGCTAACACAAAAAAAGGGAAACTCTAATTCTCTAATTCTTGCTCCATGTATGGATTTCCATTGAAGGCGGCACAATTGAACAACTGCGGATTGCAGATAGATATTGTCCGTATTCCAAAATTAGTAAAGGAGTTTGTATAATTTACAAAATGTATAATTCTTTATCACAGTTTTTCTTCAAACACAAAGCACATCCTTGGTGAGAATTAAAAATTTTGCTTATATTCCGTTGTAAATGTTAATTAAATGCCCAACATTTATATTATCTGTAAATTTATATAGTTAAATAAGACGTCTAAGATCTTACAATTATCCTAAAATGCAACTACCTACGACTTTGTTTAAGCCAGTTGATGTGGTCATTACGGAAGCTCGAGCTTGACGACTGTTAGAGCCCTCCCATTTCCAATTTTGAGACCCTAGTCCTTGGGTTCAAGATATCCCTCAAGATGGATATCTCGAGGACCATCATGTGATACCTGCAAAGTTATGTGTGGTCGTTCTTGGGTATGTAAAGGTCGGGGATTTGCCTTGACCAATTTCCCAATGTGTTCTATGATTGAACAATGGTATTTCTCACCTCGTAAGGACTCTAGCCCTATCCAATCACCCCAGCTCAAGGATCCTAAGTCGTAAAGGAGTCCTATCTTAGGCAACACCCCTAGAAACGGAGGTTAGGACTCCTGATGACGTCCCAACACTAAACCCTATAGTCACTCCAAAAAATAAGGGGATGAGTCCTAGTAGAACTGCACTACCTACCTCTATAAATACATCATTCTCAACCATTATTCAGGTACGTTTCTCACATATATTTTCAGCATATATTTTCTCTCTATCCTCTCTCTAACTTAAGCATCGGAGGGGCGACGAGGATACACATCGACGCCTTTGTTTCAGATACTGGAAGATCACGTTCGTACTCATTGTCAGTCGTCAAGCTCGGAATTCACTAGGTGCAATTTTTGGTAGCATCACTAGTAAAGGAATTTGTAGAACTTTTATGTTTGAAAGTACAAGTAATAAATTAAATAAAAATTCAAAAGAAAAGAAGGGACAGTTGAATGTATCCATATATTTTGTAAATTCATTAATTTAGACATTCAATGAAATAAAAAAAATATTTTGAGCACATATAACTATTTATAAACATTGAATCTACCTGTCACCTAAAAAAATCACTTTTAACAACGTAGATTTTATCGTAAAAAGTTATTGTGAGGTTATTTTTCATCGAAAAGGTTCGTCAAANCGAGTTCTTTCCAACCTGGAGCGGCTGATGCAGGAGGGTCCGTGTTAGATGCTGAGTTGTCAGATAACACGTTATGCCGGCGTAATTATCAACAATGAGCAAAGAGGACCTAGTCTTCAATAAACCGTGTTGGAAGGGTATTATGGAGGTTAATTATCGATAATCTTGTTCTATATTGCCGGACGGCGAATAATATAATAATTAAATGGGTTGAAAAAGTATGTTAAGTGATAGAATCATACATCGAATAAAGATGAAAGTATAAATCAATTTATAAGAGTTTGGACTACTCTAAATAAGGTCGGCCTTTCAAGATGAAACTCCAAATCTTAACATGGTATTAGAACCTGTTAAGTTTCAACTAGCAATTCGATCCAATTAAGACTCAAAAAAATTGAGTACACGTATTTCAAGATTGGTATGCTCAAACGATCTACCATCTTCTAGGGGCATGTTAAAGGATAAAATCCCACATCGAATAATGATGAAAAGTATAGACCAATTTATAAGAGTTTGGACTATTCTTCTTAATAAGGTATACATTTTAAGATGGAATCCAAATTCTTGACATGGTATCAGAGCCTATTAAACTCTAACGAGCAGTTTGATCCAATTATGACTCAAAAAAATTGAGCACACAGATTTTAACATTGGTCTGCTTAAACGAAATACCATCTTGCGGGGTATGTTAAAAGATAAAATCTCACATCAAATAAAGATGAAAACATAGACAAATTCATAAGAGTTTCGGCTACTCCTCTTAATAAGGTTGACCTTTTAAGATGGAACC